GACTGTGTCTAGGGCCAACATGGCCCTGCCTGCTTGCTTCGCCCAGTCCAACATAGAGGAGGCATGTTTGTTGCCTCTGAGAGCCATGTATATTTGCCCCATTTTTAGGCATGCAGCAGGTCTGTATTGCTATTCAGCAAGCTGTAACCCTCTGCTCACAGACCCCATTTAAATGCTCCTTAGCAGAGTTCCTAAGAAAGAGAGCTGTTTGTACTGCCAAAATAGAAAGCTGCTGCTTTTTTTTAAAGAAGCCATGCAGTTTTTACTGCACCTTGCTTGCAAACAGAGCCTATCTGAAAAATTGCTGTTACCATGAAGCTTCCCTCAGTTCCCATTTTGTGGGTCTAGAAGCCTTTTATTTAAAAACAAACAAACAAACAAAAAAAAACTTTCTTAAACATGGAAATTTTTGCCCCATGCAGGCATACCAATTTGTTGGGGGAGGCTGCTTGTTCATTTCTGGGCCACCCAGACTCCCAAAGTAATCACACAGAAACTATATTAATTAAAATGCTGTTTGGTCAATAGCTTAAGCATATTGCTAGCTAGCTCTTTTATCTTTGGTTAACCCATTTCTATTATCTTATATTTTACCATGAGGCTCATGGCCTACCAGCATCTACCAGCATTTGTCACATCTGTCCCTGGCGGTGGCTGCATGGCTTCTCTGTGACTCCGCCTTATTTCTTCCAGCATTCTGTTTAGTTTTCCCTGCCTAGCTCTGCTCTGCCCTGCTATAGGCCCAATCCAGCTTCTTCATTCATTAACCAATAACAGCTACACATATACAGAAGGACTTCCCACACCAGCCATGTTCATTCTACCCCTTTTTCTTCTCTGCTCTGGACTCATCCAGATGCCATCGACTGTTCTTTTCCTCCTGTCTACAATAAAAACATTTGCCTATACTTGGAATGGTCATGTCCTCAGTTTATATGTCTGGTCCTAAAAACTTCAGTTTATACACAGAGCACTATTACTTTTTCTTTTTGGGGCTGGGTCTTTAGTTTTTTAATATTACTAGGAAAATGATATATAGTTATTGTAAAAATTCTAATACATATTATTTAAAATGAAAATATCTAAAATATCTTCTTTTTCCCCCCTCTGACCCAATCTGGCCCAACACATATATGTCAATATATGTCTCAGGTCTGGCTTGTACCCTAGGCTTCGGCTTACCTTGAAGGCCTTGTTCATCAGTTCCAGGAGTGACCTAACACTTTAGATATCTTCCTGCCTTGGCCTTGCCAGGCTATTTCTATGACTGGTCATCCTGGATGGTTGCATTAAATTCCAGTGCCATGCTTTTTCCCAAGGACAGCTGAGGGTTTTTAGATAACCTTTTAAAAAAATAAATAAATAAATAAAAGAGACAATTTGTAAAAACCTATGAAAGTTTAGCAAGAAAAGCTCCATAATTTTTTGTGTGGCTGGATTCTAGCAAACATAATCTAGCTCTCTTGATGGGTGGCATAGCCCTATAACAGCTGTGGAAAGCAAGTCCAAACATGTTCTGTTGGGAAATTCTCAGATCTCCGTCCAGAATGCATCAGCACTACCCCATAAAGCTTGCTGGTCTCTCTGGGATTCTATAGAACCCACAGGATATTTTCTCTGCAAAAGTTTTAACATTTGTTTGTACAGTAGTTACACGATGGCCTGGAAGCAGATGTGCCAGTTGTGTGAAGCAAGCATCACTTACACAAAGACACACAGGCTGATACATTTTAAAAGGGTGGGAAATATTCTTCCTGTGCTTCCTTATTATTTGCTCCTTCAGAGATTGCCAATGAGAGTAGGGTTTTAGGTATCTTCTACATGTATATTTGAGGCTCACATAACATATACACTTATATCTAATAAATGCTTGGAAGAAAAATCTAAGACTATCTTGAGTAATGTTCAATGCTTATATATTAGCAATTTTTGTAGTTGTGTAGAATTTCATTATTTGCATGTGTAATAATTTATATTACCAACTCTCATCGATAATTATTGAAGTATTTCTAGATCTTAGGCCATCAAAGCGAAACTTTGGTGAGTGCCATTGCATGAGTTTCACTCTCTGCAGATGTGACTGTGCCTCTAAGATACATTCCTGACTCCAGTGTATGTACCTTTTTCTTTCTTTTTCCCCTTTTTTTAAATTTTTGAGACAGCCTCACTCCTGGCTGCCATGGATCTTTCTATGTAGACCAGGGTGGTCTCGAACCTACAGAGATACACCTGCCTATGTCTCTTATGTGGCATTAAAAGGTGTACACCACCATACCCCACAGTATATTTTAAGTTTTGGTGGGTTTTGCCAGCTTGCTTTTTAGGGATATATGACTGATTTAAATTTTTCTGCCCTTAGCAATGTGTGTGTGTGTGGGGGGGGGGGAGTCCCTGTCTATTTCATCCACATTTTTATCCGCATGTTACTCCATGTAGTCTTTTGATCTTTGACAATCAGATCATTCAAAAAATTATCACATAATTCTAAAGTTGCGTTTTCCTTATGGGTAACATTGAACATCGTTTTATCCACATGTATTTCCCTTGTGGTAGTCTTTCTCTCTGACTTCCGATCTATGTACATTGCCACCCATCCTTTGCTCATTTTCCTTGGGCTGTTAGTCTTTTTTAAAAAATTGATTTGTTGTAACAATTGCATTTTGAGGAATTTAAGGCTGTGTGTAGATCGAGTAAGTTATTGCTTTTCTGTGATGAGGTTTTTTTCATTTTTATATTTGTCCTTTGACTTTTTATTCTATAAAGCATACATTTTCTCTTTTATTTTAAAGATGTATTTTATTATTTATTTTTATGTATTCATGTAGTGTATGTGTATGTTTACATGTCGGGGGCATGGAGGTCAGAAAGGGGTATTGAACCCTTCGAGTTTTGGTGAGCTGCCTGATATGGGTGCTGGGATCCACATTGCAGTCTTCTGATAGCGCAGTAAATGCTCTGAACCGTGAGCCCGCTCTCTAGACCTCAGTCACAGAGGATAGCCTCGAACTGCTGATACTCCTATGTTCACATCCCAATTTCTTGCATTATGCCTTTATGCAATGCTGGAAAGGAACCCAGGGCTTTGTGTATGCTATGCGAGCACTCCCAGCTGAGCTACATCCCCAGCCTTTTGTTATATTTTAGAAGACATATTTACTTCTGGTTTAATCTTGCACATTTGTGAGTCCTGTTGTAAATTCGTGATGGGCATTCTGTTTAAAAAAGTAAAAAAGTTTGGCTATGAAGAGGTGTTTGGGATTTTTATTTGTGGTATTTGAGTTACTGCACCTGGACTTATCCTGTTGGTTTCTCTTCTGTAGTTAACAGTAAAGAATAGCAACTGCTTTACTGCAGATGGTTAGCAAGAGGTAAAGTACAGCAACTGCTTTATGGCAGATGGTTAGCAAGAGGTAAAGTACAGCAACTGCTTTACGGCAGATGGGTAACAGGGGTTCTAGATAACAGATGTAGTTAGGAGAGTTCTAAGATGATTTGTGGTGACTACAGAAGACTAGGCCAGGGCTGGGAAACAGGGTCTAGGGTAACAAAGGTCACTTACTGTCTCAGCGTGGTGAAACTGTCACAGTGAGGAGCAGTGGAGAGGATTTCCGCATTTGGAAAGGTTGGGCTGAGCTATGGGCTTCATCAAGGTCTTGAGTTGCCCCTTTCTTCCTAGGCAGCTGTCGATTACTTCCTTGATGTTCTGAGTTCATCAGGTGCTCAAGTGGTTCCTAACCCTGGCAAGGAAATAGAAGCTGTGGTGATGTGAGTTCTGGCTTAATTGGTCTCAGGTGAGACCCCAGCCGCAGCATTTAGAACTCTGTCTGAGATGGAGTCTCATATGTAGCTAGGGTGAGCATTAATGCCAGTGCACTGAACTTGCAATTCCTTTGAGTAAAGGCTTTTACTATACACTACCCCAGTATCTCCAAATATGTAGCCCTACCTGGGGATCCTGAACATACAGCCTCTGGGGCATGGTGCTGGGTTGCAGACACTACATGTCCCGTGCTGAGGTGATGGTAATGCTTCTGGTCCTCAGAACACCCATGGGTGGCCTGAGAGCATGTGTTAGGAGGACGTACTGCTCAGTCACGAGGACGGGGGCTTGGGTCAGTCATCAGGAGCTCTCGTAACTCCTGCTCTCAGGAACCCAGCTTCTTCTTCTGCCCTCTGTGGCCACACACACACACACACACACACACACGCACACACGCACACACGCATGCACACACACACACACACGCACATGTAAACTTACAAAGACACGTATCCCCAGTCATGCACACACAGAAAGGGCTTTCAAAAGAAGAAACAAAACAGTGGGCAATTGAGAATGCCTTGTAATTCGTATGTTAAAACAGCCTGGGTATTTTCAACTCTCTAAAGAACAGTTCTTTGGGAAAGAACTTTGTCTCCTGAAGACAGAGCAAGAACCACTGTGCCAGGGGGAACAGTGCAGTACAAGACAAAACTTTCTCAAGTTATAGTGCAAGGAATGCGGCAGCCTCCCCAAGGAAATGGAAAATGCACGTTCCTCAGAGAGCTCTGGCAGGCAGTGTCCAGGAATCTTTCTGTGACATCTCTCCCACTGAAGAGACAGCAGAAGACCCTGCTCACTTCCAGCCTTGCTGTGAACTGTCAAATCTCTCTATGCACAATCTTCCTCATGACACGGTCCTTGTCTGTGAGGTTAAGTGAGTCTTCAGGTGTTCACCATCCTGAAGTTTTGTGTCTGACCTTGGTGTTGTGGGTTGGTAAAGGGAGCAGAGTAGAAGAAGCACATCCCTGAACAGGATGCTAGACAGCAAGAGTCACGTTTACCAAGTGATGCGCAGTGTGCATTGGGTTAGTCTTCTTACCCTTGTTACCTTGTCTCATTCAGTGTGTTCAGTGTCTCTTTGCATGACTTAGAACTTAAGCGAAATTGTAGTTCTTCAAGTGACCAATTCTTAAATTAATTGTCATTTTTAATGTATTTTTTTGTTGGTGCAATGCAGGAATGTTCTGATGGCTACATGTGCAAAACACAGTTTCAAATAAAAAATGGGATGACGGCATCACATCTGGGAACACCTGCCAGTGTACACGTGTGTCTTCCAACAGAGGTAAGTAATGTAGTGCGCTGTGGTCTTTTTTGCAGTCTTCATGAAGTATAAATTTAAAACTTTTAATCTGTTTTATATATGTTTATATTTTTAAAAAATTAATAGCTTTTTGGTCCTGGGACTGTTGGTGGTAGATGTGTGCACTTCATTTCTGAGGGGCTGTTTTCTTGACCGTGATGGGAACAGGAATGGTGGTGTCCACTGTGGGTCCTTGCAGTTCTGGTGACCCGTCACACTTTTCCTTGGACTTGAGGACACACAACATCTCTTGCCTTGATTATTTTTTGATGACATCTCTTTCTATACAGACCTGTCTCTGAGTACAATCTAACATTGACTTTTTTTCTAGCCTTTGGGAACTTTGTAGAACCTGAGTCTCATTCTTTAGGATACTTCAGTCGGCTAACTTGAGAAATTTACAAAATTAAATGTCATTGAAGTGCTGAGTTCTTTGTGACTTTCTAGATATTTTCAGGTTTTTTAAATCAAAATGCAAATAGCTTTAATATGTTTCTTTCCTTTCCTTTCCTCTTTCCTTCCTTCCTTCTTTTTTTTTCTTTCACAGGGTTTCTCTGTGTAGCCATGGCTGTCCTAAAACTCACTCTGTAGACCAGGCTGGTCTCAAACTTAAAGAGATCCTCCTGTCTCTGCCTCCCGAGTGCTGGGGTTAAAGGTGTGTACCATCACCACCTGGCAATATGCTTCTTATTCCTAAGAAAGGTTGTACCTATCCATTCTGAAAAATGAACAATAGGGAAATATATAAAGTGAAAGAATTCTCCTATACACCTTCAGGTAGGTACGCAATATTAGTATTTTTAAAAATAGTTTCTATTTTCCTTAGGTTTCTCCTATACATGTATTTTGGTACCAAAGAAGAATATCATGGGCATTTCCATGTTAGTTAATGAAGAATCCGTAGTTTTCTTGGTGGCTGCTTGGCATTCCGTTTGATGGCTACAACATAATTATATACTTTTACTTCAGGAAGCACTTGAATTTTAACAGATGGAAGATGATTGATGGGGACCTAATTGCTTTAGCACAAAGAAATAAAACTGTTTAAATTTTGAGCATTTTAGTAAAGAGTGAGGAGATGCTTGTATACATGTCTTTGTGTGTGTGTGTGTTCTCTGTTTGTGTGTATATCCATTCCTGTCTGTGCCTATTAAGGTATATTTCTGTCTCTCTGTGTGTACATGTTCCTTTTGGTATATGTGTGTATCGCGCTACCATCTCGCCCGTAAGAACCACGTGGGACACTAGGATCCTTCTGCAGAAAAGCTTTTAATGCTTCTTGAGAGAGAGAGAGCATAAGCTTACATGGCGGAGACCCAGAAATGAGGGAACCCATCCCTTATGTAGGAAACAGTCCTCGCTTCGGACGTGTCACTCTTGGATTGGTCCGCTGCCCATTATCCCAGCTGATGCCTCGGGAGTAGGCAGGGATGCAGCAGTGGAAAGTTACCGAGCACATGTGCGTTCACCTGGTGGTGAAACCGGATGCCAGCGCCATCTTGTAATGGAGTATGTGGTTGCGGTCCTCCACATCTCCCCCTTTTTTACTTCTTTGCAGAAAGGCAACTCCCTCAGAAGGCAAAGATAGAGGTCGCACTTCCCAAAGTGGAAACATTATAATTGGCTTACACAGAATCTGCCCCTAGGTTCATGACACCTGGAACTTATCCGGCCTGCCCTCTGCCATTTTTCTGGGAAAGGGACTATGTGGCAGGAAACCCTTATGCAGGGCGACATATCTCTCAGAGAGGGCCATTCTCTGTGCGATGCTCTTCAGCTCGACAACCTTCAGGGCTAGCTAAACCAAGCACTCCACCCTGTGCAATGGACCACTGTCCTAGGGGTGCGGGAGCTGGTTGGCATAAACCTTACTGCTTCAACATAGATAACCACATATCAGTAGAGGCCCCCTGTTTCAGGGCAGCCAGCGCTTGTGCAATAACCACTTTGTCCCTACGACTTTGGGATTTGAGTCAGCAGACCATCCAGAGGAGAAACACTATTCCACAGCATAGGGCTGCTCCAAAAATTCCCACCCCCACCCATTCTTTGAAGTAGGAGATGAAGGACACAATCCAGGACTGGAATCCTTCGGCTAAGCTTATAAATCATTTCTAGGAAGGTAGGAGAGCCCCAGAGTCTTATTGGTTGTAAAAAACCGAGGAAACACCGCCACTCTATGGCTGACTGGTGTCGGCTTCGGGAAGGCTGAGAGTATCCCCCATCGCTGCTCCATCACAACCGTTGTCATCCATCCGCAAAATGGCAGGAGGAACAGAAGCCAAATCTTTAGGCGAGTCCGCATGTTGTGGGTCACCTTTCACTGTTCAGTCAGTCTCTCTGGCACCCAGAATGGGTTTTTCTGATCCTGTGGGAACACACAAACAGCTCCCCTGGATCTCAATAGAATGGGATCCGGGCCTTTCCATTCATTAGAAAGCACATCTTTCCATTTAACCAAATCCTTGGGCCGCTGCGGATCTGAACAATGTCATGTTGCAGCATTTTGGCCATTATCATCCAAATTTAAAAAATTTATAGTGAACAGAGCCATGGCAATGACCACTCTTGGCGTCGGGGGCAACTCCTTTATTATTCCCCCTTTTTTTTGTTTTTAACAAGAACTGGTATCGGTATAGGTCATGCCCTTGTCATTGTTTAGAGGGTCATCCTTGCTACTTTCTCATCAAATTCTCCAGTCCAATTACCTAGAAGATAACTAGACAATTGCTTAATAATCAGTCACTGCATCTGGGATCGCAGGGGCGCAATACTCCAGCTGCATCAAGAAGTCTATCAGAGGCGTGTTGGAAACTATGGGCCTTTTCCCCCTAGGCCACACTCGGCAGGCGTAAACCCCGTTAAACAATCCCCCTTTAGGGAAGCCGCGCCGGGTCCGCATTGCTCTGCCAGTTTTCGGCTTGCATTGCTATGGAGCCCGTTCCCATAGTGGCGGCTCCACCCCGGGTTTTACTGCTTTTCCAGCGAGGCTGGCCTTGTTCTCTGCAGCTGTGTTGGTGGGGAGTGTGGCGGGAGCCGACACCCGGACCCCTCGGTAACCGAGGCAGCACAGGCCAGCAACATCTCAAGGTCCGCGCGGGAGCCATTACAGCTCTCGGGGCAGATGGGAAAGGCGCCATAGTCACAGATTTAGCCAATGACCCTATCCAAGGGCTTTTCGCATCTACCTCCCTGCAGATCCTGAAACATTAGATAAACCAAGTGTATCAGCTTAGCCAAGTGGAGCAGAAGCCACTCCAGCCTCAGAGCCCCTCACAGTTTCAGGTACACTGCAAGTCTTCTGGTTTGGCAGCTTGTGGCACTGCTCTTATTCTCGGCACTGTTGTGGCATCCGCCAGGCTAGGCATCGACTGGGCTGGCGCAATGTGCCTTTTACCACAGCCACCTAGCAAAGCTCTGCTCCAGCTGCCTTCTAGCCACAGCTGCATTCACTCTGAGTCCAAACTGGTGCACGGAGTGAAGCGGAACTCAGGGAAGCAGGCTTGCTGCTCTGTAACCATTGAAAGGACCTCATTTAAATAATCTTTCAGGGAATTTGGGCGTTGTTAGTCTCTCTGGCTACTTCCTGCTGAATTGGGACGTTGCATTTTAGGGGTATACACTACAACATTTCAGGAGGTCTCGGTGATTCAAACCACATAAATCTCAAGTACACCCTTAGACTCTCATTTTCTGTGGAGACGAAAACAGAACCTCTTTTCCAAAACATCATATCTTTAGGCCCATATTTTAAATTCAAAATACCTTTTTTAGCAGTTTCTAAATTCAAATATCTTTCTCCTGTCCAGTACACAAAAGACAACACAAGCAACATAACATACATCTGTCCTTTTTTCTTATTGTTGGTATCAGAAAGCTTTTGACCTTATATGTCAATCTTCTCCCCCATTCTTATTTTCTTAGAACCACCGGGGGGTCCTTTTTCCTTATCTGGGACTGTCCTTTTCTTGTGCGTGCCCAACCTCTCACTGCACTCAGTTTCTGACATGCTATCCTGGACTTCCTCTGCTTCTGCAACAACTGCCTGGCAAGATTCATCTTCTAAGCAATTTCAAAGTGATAAGAGACTTGCTAAGAAGTACCAAGGCCTCTACGAAACCTTTCCAATGAGGAAACAAGTCAAGCCCAAAACCGAAAAATCCAGGAATAGTCATACCTCTCTGAGCATGCAGACCTGCAGTTCTGAATCCTCCATGTGTCCAAGGGGTCTCCGGCGGTGCGAGCAGTGGTCAGGGTCTCCCGGCGTCTCGGGGTTTCAGCACCAGATATCCCGCGCTACCATCTCGCCTGCAAGAACCACGTGGGACACTAGGATCCTTCTGCAGAAAAGCTTTTAATGCTTCTTGAGAGAGAGAGAGAGCATAAGCTTACATGGCGGAGACCCAGAAATGAGGGAACCCATCCCTTATGTAGGAAACAGTCCTCGCTTCGGACGTGTCACTCTTGGATTGGTCCGCTGCCCATTATCCCAGCTGATGCCTCGGGAGTAGGCAGGGACGCAGCAGTGGAAAGTTACCAAGCACATGTGCGTTCACCTGGCGGTGAAACCGGATGCCAGCGCCATCTTGTAATGGAGTATGTGGTTGCGGTCCTCCACATATGTGCATGTTTCTATCTGTATGTATGTGTTCCTGTCTATATATGTGTTCATGTGTATAATGTATGTGGGTGTGCTTGTACACATGTCCCTGAATGCATATGGATGATAGGTCCATATGGTGTGTTTCTCTATTGCTCTTCACCTTATATTTTTCAGGCAGGGTCTCTACTGAACCTGGAGCTCACCAGTTCAGCAAACCTAGCTGACCAGTGCAAACCAGGGTCTCCTCTTTTTATTCCTCTACTGCTGGGATTACAGGTGCATGCCACTACACTCAGCTTTCACATGGCTGCTCTGAACTCAGGTCCTCATCTCTGCTTGGAAAGCACTTTACCCCCTGAAGCCATTTTCTTAGTGCAGA